ATGGTCCCTGTGTTAATGCTGTGGTGGTTACCATGGTAATTTGTGCAGGGATGGAGAAGTTGTGCTGATGCAAGCGTTTATGTCATCCGTTTAATCAGCAGTATTTCCTTGGAACAGAGGTTTCTCGAGGTGAATTGCCAGGGCTTAGCCTTGGTGGAAAAAGCCAGAGCATCACAGGAGTGTTTATGACGGACGCTTCTGAATTTCCTACAATTAAGTGCTTATAGTTTTATACAGGAGCTGTTTAAAGGGCTTGGCTTTTCAACAAGATGTAAAAGTCTTTTGTGCCTCCAGAATGTGCTTGAGAAGTCTCTGAATCTGATGTACAATAATGCCCCATGATCACTGAGTGGTACAGTACGGGTCGGTGCGGGTCATCTTTATCAGGCTTGCGTTTCCACTGCCAAAAGGGTACTAATGGTGTGTGGTGTATGACAAGCTTCAGACGACGTCATTCTCACTCGAATAAATGTCTACAGTAAAGCTGTGCAGGTCTTTCACATATCATATGAGAAACACTTTTTACAAAACAGATGCTTTAAACGCACAAATACTGTATAATGGCCCGTTTCCACTGAGTAGTACGTTTCTACTGTCAAAAGCTTAACGAACCAAACCGTACCATACCACTTTTTCGGCACCCTTTTCGAAAGGTAACCAAACAGGAGAAAGGATACCAAAAGGTAGAGCTACACATGCAGCCGAACGCTGATTGGTTGCAGAGATGCGTCACGAGCTCGTGGATCTACACAGAACGTAAACAAAGGAACCGCCATGTTTTTTTAAAAATACAAAGCCAAGACATTACATGGAAATACTATATAGATATAATAGCAGCCATGGATGACCCGGGCTCAAACAAACCTTGTCGTCTTCTCGATGAACAGACACAAAGCCAAGAAGAAAAATCTGCCGTGTCCTGTTGTTGTTTTACGAGCCCGTCTAAAAGTGCGAGCGGTATTCGCTTTCTTCCGGGAGCTTGCGATCGCTTCTATATTTGATATAACGAACTACTTAAGCTGTTGATAATAACGTGAGTGCGATTATTGAAGTGTCTCCGTCGTCTGATCCATTCAGAAAAAATGGACAAGCGCGAGTGAAACGCGGAGAAAAGAGAGAAGCCGTACCACTCAGTGGAAACAGACCAAAAGATCATACAGAACATGTGCTTTATAAGTTCTAATAAGCAGCCAATATCTCAATAATACACATGTTAATAAGCAACTAGTTAACAGTGAAAATTGGTCCCTAAAGTGTTACAGAATGTATTAATTTTGATTGGGATAACTCTGCTGGGTAGTGAATCATGCATAAAATGTAATAAACAAACTACAAGCACAGATAAATGCAACAAAGCAAAGATAAAAGTGAAATAAACTGCATGCATTATGGTTTTTGTAGTTAAGTTGTAAAAATGACTCTGCAAAGTCAACTCAACATTGCATATCGTTGACTTTTTGATGAAGAGCTGTGTTGCTCAAAACGTTACACGCTTTGTGTCAGCCTTTTTAATTTAATAAATTTGTATTTTTGGAGTTTTAATAGTTAATAGACTTTAATAATTATTTAATATCATTACGATGCGACTATTGCGGATGCACACATTGCGATATCAGTACTGAAACGCTATATTGTGCAGCCCTACAAACAGCCTCCAAAGTCGATTTTGCAACATGGGTGACTCTAAAAGAAGTGCTGTGTGCTTCTCAGAGGCTTGCGACACTGCATTTCTCTTTTAATGAATTGCATTATTTGAATTGCATGCATAAGCTAAAGTCACTTAGTGCATTTTTTATGCAGCAAGCTCTTGGCTCTTTGTCTTGCTTTGAGCGGTGAATGTCACTCTGACACAGTGTCTTGATTGCAGAAGTGTGCAAGAGGTTAGCACACGTATATCTTTGGATTCCCCCTTTTTTTTCTTCAGAGAACAGGAAGTAGGGTTTTGGTAAAATTAGATGCTGGCAAGAAGAGTGGATATTATCTGAGTGAAAACACTGCAGCCTTTCCACGTGCTGACAAGCGGGACCCTGAAGTGCATTTCAGAGACTCGCGCTCGGCTGTCTGGACTGGAATGTTGCAGCGTTAAATCATGTGCATCTCTGAATTGATTTAGTTGCTGTTAGTGTCCTCCTGCAGGGTCACGGATGAATAAAGCGCTATCCATTTTAGCCTGGTGTTGAGCTCTGCATTTAGTAGTTCCATCAGCTTTCTGTTTTAAAACCATATGAATCATCCGTCCTTCCTTTAATATTTCATCTTGCTATTATAACTTCTGTCATTATTCCTACTTCAAAGTCTTCAGTTGCTCTTGTCGGTTTATTCTGCAAACCATGTAACTAGGGTTGTAACAATATACCGGTATGACGGTTTACCACGATTTGAACGTGCACGATTATCATACCATGAACAATTGCATATCAACGGTTTTAACCCTTAAAGACCGAGACAGCCGCCCGCGGCTAAAAATAAGTATTGCTCTTAAATGTTTAATAACTTTTGATCCGCTGATCCGATTCATACAATTCAAAGATTGGCGTAAAGAAGAGAATCTCAGCTTTCAAGTGCTGTATCACATATCATTCGCGGACTTTCAGAGTCTCCGGAATCAGTGCGGTTACGTCATCAACATTTGACAACGCTGATTTGACAAAGAAACGCTCGTCACTGTGTCTCCGGACAAACCAGACATGATACATTGATGCATTGTCCCTCCTCCATGCCCAGATTGGTTCAAACTCGCTATATCACAACCAATAAGCATAGGTTTAGCTTTTGTTTGTGGACCAACACTGAGCTTTTTGAACAACACGGAATGAGAGATAGGCATACATTTCTGCGCGGCTAAATAAAACACAAAAAAAAAAAAAAAAAGTTTTGCATGAAATAATTCTCATACTAAGTACTTTTGCATGCACAGCAGCACAGAAACATGACAAAACAGTGACACAGCAAAGACGAACTGCTGCTCTTGCTGTTTTCAAAAGACGCAAATGAAGGTGCAGCTGTTTGTCTGCATTGCATACAACCACATCCAAATCCACAGACAACCATATCCATGCTGGCACATAAAACCTAAGGATGTTCCATATTGAATCTAGTTTCGTTATGTAACTATTTATAGTATAGTAAATATTTATATCTATTTTTTTACTGAGGATTTGCACCATGTTTATTTGGACTTTGACACATTATTTATTATTTTTTTATTTGTTCATTGTACAAGTGGACACATTCTCTCACCTCAGCGGTCAAGATTAAGTCCTGAAAATCTCAACATGCTTACATTTCTTCATCACAACCTAGACTGAAAAAAACAACGCTTTAAATACATGTTTACAGCCATAAACTTGGTATTGCACTTTTGGTCTCCCATTTATCGTGCTTATAAGGAAGGACAGTTTAAGTTTATTTTTGTCTAATCTTAAAAGACCCTGCTTGTTTATTCCTTCTAATTTAATTTATTAAAATGGGAGATTTTTCAGTTTATTTTTATAAAAGACTTCTATAGTTCTATTAAAAAGGTTCTTTCAAAAGTTTGTTGAAATAAAACCTTTGTTCAGTCAGAAAACGTGTTCTTATTCTTTTCAGGGTCTTTGCTATGAGAATTACTATTTAATACCGTATACCGCGAAACCGTCAAACCGTGGTATTGTTTTAGACGATTATCATACCGTAAAAAATTCATACCGTTACAATCCTACATGTAACTAAAGTTTGCTTGTTTGTTTTTAATGATCATTAACTGTTTCCATCCACCGGTTTTATGCTCACTTTTAAATATTGCATAGAAATGCTTGATTGAAACAGACAGATGTGCACAACTGAGTTGGATAAACTTTTTATCTGATAAGAAAAAAAAACGCACAAACAATGTTAGAAACAAATTTACTGACAAGTCATTGTCTTGTCATTAAAAAAAAAAAAAAGAAAGAAAGAAAAAATATATATGTACATGTTTATATATGTATATACAGTTGAGGTTATCAGCCCCTCTTTGAAATTATTTTTAAATATATCCCAAATGATGTTAAACAGAGCAATGAAATATTCATAATATTTTTTTCTTCTGGAGAAAGTCTTATTTGTTTTATTTCGGCTAGAATAAAAGCAGTTTTTAAACTTTTTAAAGGCCATTTTAAGGACAGTATTATTAGCCCCTTTAAGTTAATTTTTTTCTCGACTGGCTGCAGAACAAACCATCGTTATACAATAACTATCCTAATTACCCTAACCTGCCTAGTTAACCTAATTAACCTAGTTAAGCCTTTAAATGCCACTTTAAGCTGTAGAGAAGTGTCTTGAAGAATATCTAGTCAAATATTATTTACTGTCATCATGACAAAGATAAAATAAATCAGTTATTAGGGATGAGTTATTAAAACTATTATGATTAAAAATGTGTTGAAACAATCTTCTTTCCATTTAACAGCTAATGTGACATGGGGGCGTGGCAGCATCGACGATTCTATTTTTTGATTCGATAATCGAAGTTGAGTATAAATTTCGATCGATTTAGATTAAAAATCGAAATCGTGACACCCTTAGTCAGGACCTCAGTTTAATGTCTTATCTGAAAGATGGCACCCATTGACAGTATGGTGTCCTCTTCACTATACTGAGGCGTTCGGTCTCACACAGATTGGGTTGAGCTCCCCCTGCTGGCCTCACTAATACCATTTCCAAGAGAAACCTAGCTTTCCCATGTGGTCTCCAATCCAGGTACTAACCAGGTTCAGCCCTGCTTGGCTTCAGTGAGGAACCGGTCTTGGGCTGCAGGGTGTTTTGGCTGTGGCATGTAATAATGCTCACAAACATATTTTCTACATGTTAAATTTTTTTCATGCCTATTTTCTTAAATAAGTACTTTACGTTTTTATTAATATACTTTAAACCTTATTTGGATTCAGTTTGGACAGCGAGTTTCATCATACAGGGAACCTGTTTCTTACTGTGCATATGACAATAAACACTGTAAATCTATGAATTTCTCCTCTTTCCAGGACCTGGGCCAAGACCATCCCGGGCAAGGTGGAGTTTTTCTCCAGTGAAGGTTCTGACACCACCATCCCCATCCCCATTGTGGCTCTGCAGAACGTGGATGACTCGTACCCTCCGCAGAAGAAGTCCTTCATGATGCTCAAATACATGCATGACCACTATTTGGACCAGTTCGAGTGGTTCATGCGAGCCGACGACGACGTCTACATCAAAAGCGAAAAGCTGGAGAGTTTCCTAAGGAGTCTCAACAGCAGCGAGGCCATCTTTCTGGGCCAGACGGGCATGGGAGCCCGCGACGAACTGGGCAAACTGGCGCTGGAGCCGGGGGAGAACTTCTGCATGGGCGGCCCTGGTGTTATCATGAGCCGCGAGGTGCTGCGCAGGATGGTTCCCCACATCCGCCAGTGCCTGCAGGAGATGTACACCACCCATGAGGACGTGGAGGTGGGCCGCTGCGTGCGCAGATTCGCCGGAGTGCAGTGCGTCTGGTCCTATGAGGTAAGGGCAGATTGAGTTTTGCTTTGTTTTTTGGGCGTAACGTAGGGCTGCACAATATATGGTTTTGTATTCACATCACAATATGTTTAAATTACAATGTCAGGTTTTTTCTGATATTGTGCAGCCCTAGCGTAATTAGCATTACACCTGTTTTTTTGGTACAGTCTTGCGTAATTACAGGGCCAACCTGAGGTGATCACGTGACCACAGATAGAGCCTTGACATAATTATTAGTGTGGTTTAGTTCCTGCAGCTCAGGCTCAAGCTTTATAATGCATATTGTTCGCAAAATCTGCCTCTTCATTGAACTCTCAGGGCTGCAATTTTCGGGGTACTGAAATTATAGGTTGGAAGCGAAGTGGAGAATGGCTGCGCTCTTTGCACCATCAAAACTGCTTGACGGCTTTGATCCTTCAAAGGTTTTTTCCCCCCCCGATACCTGAGCAGGTTTTCCTGGACAATAGTAGAGCGAATGCCAGAGACTGTTGCTGTAGATTAGCTGTTTTTTCAGAGCTGTAATGGAGTGACTCAAAGGATGTGAAGCGCTGGACGATGGCTCCTTGAAAGGGTAACCTCTGACCTCAGAGAGATGAATCATCGTCATCATCCTCTTGCCAATAGATGAAGTTGATGATCATGTACTGTTATGTGCCATTCATCCATTTATCTTGTCTTTCTGTGAGCGGCTGAGAGCTTTTGAAGACGTCAGAATCAATATTATTTCATAGAAATCACAATATTTTTTCCCCACAAAGATATTTAAAGGTCTAGTCTACCAATAAATGACACTTTCCTGTTCATTTGCTTGAGTAAAGTAACAGGAAATGTTTATTTTGGGTGAATTTTCCCTTTAGGGATCATCATTATTAGTTGTTGGTGCATTTTTCATGATGTTTAAGTAAATTATTATTATTATTATAAGCTGTAGTTCTCATTAAATTCTTTGTATATAAATATACATGCATATAATTTTTATTTTAAATATTGTTTTATATAAAAAAGCTGATTGTTCTTATTTTCATTAATTCTGTAACAACCTAACACATTACCAAATGTCATATTAGTTAACATACATACAAATGTAGTGCAAATGTGCTGAAAATTCAGGTAAATAAATTAATAATTTTACCACTTGTAATCCTATAGTGCCGTACATGTAAAATCAAATCTGTTTTAAAAAATAAAATAAAAAAATAACAATTTCTTTACATAAATTTGTCACAATCACCAGCGATCTAGCCTATGCAGATGACTGGAGAACTACAATTCTACCACTGAACCAAACTACAACTACCATGATTCTTCGCACAAATTTCCACCTGCTACAGCTGCAAACTATCTGGACTGACACACACACGCACGCACGCACGCACGCACGCACGCACACACACACACACACACACACACACACACACATTTGTTTTTGTGAAAACTGGGGACATTACAAAGGTCATTTTATACTGTCCAAACTGTATATTGTATTGCCCTCACCTCACCCCACCCCTAAACCCAACCATCACAGGAGACTGTGTGCAGCTTTACTCACTGATTAAACGCATCCTGTAGGATTTAAAAGCATTTTTAGGAATGAGGACGTCACCAGTGTCCTCATATTTCACCTCCTTTTTGTAATACCTGTGTCATACCCAAGTCATTATACAGATTTGTGTCCTGATATGTCACAAAAACACGTACACACACACACACACACACACACACACACAGGTGAAGATCATTCTTACTGATTGTGAGGACTACACAACACGCACATTCACTTCTGGGCTGAGTCTTGTTAGTCTGTAACACCACAAAGCTTTTCAGGGGTGTCCAAAATCGGCCCTGGAGGTCCGGTGTCTTGCATAGTTTAGTTCCAACTTTCTTCAACACACCTCCTCATAGGTTTCTAGTATACCTACAAAGAGCTTGATTAGTCGAATCCGATGTGTCTAATTGGGGTTGGAACTAAACTTTGTAGTACACCGGACCGAGTTAAGACACTCCTGGTCTAAGTCTTTCCGTGTTTGATCCTTGCCTTATTTTACTGTTTATTGATTCTTTGCCGCCTGTACTGACCACTTGCCCGTGTCTTTGACTATGCTTCTGGATTTTCCTGTATGTACCTGTTTGCTGCTGTATCTCGGTGGGAGATCACATTTGTTGTAAGCGTTTGTATGTGGAGAACGGGAGCTATGTCACCTCTTCGGGGGATTATAATGGGTTGATAAGCTTTTCAGGGGATTTTAACAGGTTTATAAGTGAAGACTGCCCAATTTTACTCTACCCGCCTACACTGTCAAAAATCAATTTTTCAGAAAACATAAAAAAATAAGGGAACTTGATGCAGTACGAACTTTTTTTAGTTTTTCTCAGTTACATTTTTTTTTTGTTCATCTAACATAATTTTGTTATTTATGCAATGTTAGTTATTGTAATTTACTAATAAAGATATTCGTGTCACATTAACTGAAGCAACAGTTACTGCTATTGAGCCAATAAATTTTTTCTGTTTAGTGGATGAATTTTTTTTTTCAAATTTGCAAAATAAGTAATTAGTTCTAGTTCACATATCATCCTGTTTTTAATCATTTTACTTAAAAATGAACACAAACTCACTAATTAATTTATTCATTTTCCTTTGGCTTAGTCCCTTTATTCATCAGGGGTCACCACAGTGGAACGAACCGCCAATTTATTCAGCATATACTTTACACAGCAGATGCCCTTCCAGCTGCAACCCAGTACCGGCAAACACCCATTCACACTCAGACACTTGTACCTCATGTCTTTGAACTGTGGCGGAAACTGGAGCACTCGGAGGTAACCCACGTGAACAAAGAAATGCCAACTGACCCAGTCAGGTCTCGAACCAGCAACCTTCTTTCTGCAAGGTGACTGTGCTACCAACTGCGCCACTGTGTCACCCCTTTTTTAAGCAACTGATAAACAAGCGTAGTATTCGATCGTCACGTCACGCATGCGCAAATTCTTTAAATATCAACATTCCTGTTCAACACAAAAATGTTTGTCCAGAAAACTCCCCTAAACATGCAGACATGACATTTTAGCGAATATTGTTGACATAACATATATTTTAATGTAATCAATTCTTATTCATTATATAATGACAGAAAAAGTACAGTGTGCTGAACAAATGGTGATTTTTGTTTTTTTTTACGTTGTGTCATTTTTTTAACTGCAAAAATAAATTCAAAACCGCCCAATTGGGCTGGAAACCGCCCAATCTGGCAACACTGATAATAATCGTGTAGTTAATCTAAATAGAGTGAACGTTTTCCATTTGCTTATTTTTTTATTATTTTTTTTAATTGTATGCCCATATTCACAAAACATTAACATCAAAATGTTTTAACATATTAAAGAGAATGTACAGTCTTGAGAGTGAAAGTAACAGAGAAATTAATGTAAATAAAATAAAATAAATAGGTGAAAAATAATTAAAATTACAACTACATCATCTTAGAGTAGTCTTTAAGTGTAGGTTATAACAAAAAGTGTAAATGAATGTCAAGGATGTTGTGATAATTTAAGAGAGCTCTTTTATGTACTCCCAAAGGGGAGTCATTTGCTTATTTTTAAGCCTTGACAGCATTCAGAGTATTCAGACACAAGAAATGTTACCATTTGTAACTTTAATGAACAATGCTTTTATTTAGCATTTATACAGTGAAGACTTTTGCAGTGTTATATTTAATTTTATTATTCAAATATTGTACCTAAATTTATGAATGTCTCCAATAGACCTACAGAGTAGGATTAATGCGTCCTGAAGTAAAGTGAAACGGCTGTACGTCGTGTTTGCTGGCCTCTCGCATCACGCGCCAGTCAGCCAGTCTGTCAGCACATAACTTTAAAGAGTTAAACTAATGACAAACAGCACTACTACGAATACAGAAAACTGACTGCCTGACACATAAATCAATGTTTGTTTAATTTTTACTACTACTAGCGGGGCTTCCAGCTAACTCTATCAAGCCTCTTCAACTGCTCCAGAATGCAGCAGCACGAGTGGTCTTCAATGAACCTAAACGAGCACATGTCACTCCGCTGCTTGTCCGTTTGCACTGGCTGCCAGTTGCTGCTCGCATCAAATTCAAAGCTCTGATGTTTGACTACAAAGTGACCTCTGGCCTTGCTCCTTCTTATCTGCTCTCGCTTCTGCAGATCTATGTGCCCTCCAGAAACTTGCGTTCTGTGAATGAACGTCGCCTCGTGGATCCATCCCAAAGAGGGAAGAAATCACTTTCGCTCACGCTCAATCTGCCCAGTTATTGGAATGAACTCCCTAACTGCATCAGAACAGCAGAGTCACTCGCTACTTTCAAGAAACGACTAAAAACCCAACTATTTAGTCTCTACTACACTTCCTAATCTGCAATTGCCTCTCTGAATATCACACTAACTGTACCAAAAAAAAAAAAAAACTAATACTACTAATACTTCCCTTCTTAGACTTTACAGACCTGAAACTTGCCTATAGCACTTATTCATTGTTGCTCTTGGTTGTGTAAATTGCTTCCTTGTCCTCATTTGTAAGTCGCTTTGGATAAAAGCGTCTGCTAAATGACTAAATGTAAATGTAATGTAAATTTTTATCTTTGCTTTTAATACATTTTTTTTTTGACATTTGAATGATTCACTTCCCTACAGAATTGATCCAATCAATCTAAATGAATAAATTCTATCTAAGTAGCTGCTTTCAAGTCATCTGATGAAATTCTGTTTATATCGTATCATCTGCTGAAATGGTATATCGCCATATTTATGGCAGACAAAGTATCCCAGATTTTCTTAATATAGTAATTTGTGTAGGCGACGCAGTGGCGCAGTGGGTAGCACGTTCGCCTCACAGCAAGAAGGTCGCTGGTTCAATCCTCGGCTCAGTTGGCGTTTCTGTGTGGAGTTTGCATGTTCTCCCTGAGTTTGTGTGGGTTTCCTCCGGGTGCTCCGGTTTCCCCCACAGTCCAAAAACATGCGGTACA